TGTTGGGTAGTCTCCCCTGATGCTTGGGATACATTATGTTGGGTAGTCTCCCCTGACGCTTGGGATACACTATGTTGGGTAGTCTCCCCTGATGCTTGGGATACACTATGTTGGGTAGTCTCCCCTGATGCTTGGGATACACTATGTTGGGTAGTCTCCCCTGATGCTTGGGATACACTATGTTGGGTAGTCTCCTCTGACGCTTGGGATACACTATGTTGGGTAGTCTCCCCTGATGCTTGGGATACACTATGTTGGGTAGTCTCCCCTGATGCTTGAGATGCACTATACCTTAACTGTTTGTGGGAGTTTTATCTATTTATTCTACAGAGTGGACCTGAACAAGGAAGTTCTCCTAAATGACTTGAATTTTTATGAATTACATTGATGATTGAAAGAGTTCAACCAAGTTGGTGCTGATCGAGTGTTCACATAAACCATCAAATTATAAATGAACACTTTTTTCAGTTAATAGTTAAATTCCAAGGCACTTTGAGTTAAAAATCTTACTCTATTCTTCACAAGTATCTTGGTAATACACAAGTCTATTCTTCACAAGTATCTTGGTAATACACAAGTCTATTTTTCACAAGTATCTTGGTAATACACAAGTCTATTCTTCACAAGTATCACAAGTCTATTCTTCACAAATATCTTGGTAATACACAAGTCTATTCTTCACAAGTATCTTGGTAATACACAAGTCTATTTTTCACACAAAGTCACCAAATAATCAATTCTTCACAAATGTAATACAAGTCTATTTTTCACACATTACACAAGTCTATTCTTCACATTGTATTACACAAGTCAATTCTTCACAAGTATCTTGTTAATACACAAGTCAATTCTTCACAAGTATCTTGTACATACACAGAATTTTCAAAATTCTGAACATACACAATTCAATTCTTCACAAGTATGGTAATACACAAGTCAATTCTTCACAAGTATCTTGGTAATACACAAGTCTATTTTTCACACGTATCTTGGTAATACACAAGTCTATTCTTCACAAGTATCTTGGTAATACACAAGTCAATTCTTCACAAGTATCTTGTTAATACACAAGTCAATTCTTCACAAGTATCTTGGTAATACACAAGTCTATTCTTCACAAGTATCTTGGTAATACACAAGTCAATTCTTCACAAGTATCTTGGTAATACACAAGAACAAAGTCCAAATAATCAGTACAATGGAAGTTCAACATTACATTACATTGTATTACATGTGTACTACTGAAAGAATTGATCTGTACATACACAGAATTATAAAATTCTGAACATGACATTGAACTATTGCAGCTGTCAGTATTTAAGTACAAGGATGATGCAGGCGTTAAGTAGTCACCCCTGATTACAAAGGATGGTGTATGAAGTGTTGGGTAGTCTCCCCTGATTACAAAGGATGGTGTAGGAAGTGTTGAGTAGTCTCCCCTAATGTACTTAAGTATTAAGAATAGTGTAGGTTCTGTTGGGTAGTCTCCCCTGATTACAAAGGATGGTGTAGAAAGTGTTGGGTAGTCTCCCCTGATGTATTTAAGTATTAAGAATAGTGTAGGATATGTTGGGTAGTCACTTCTCCTGATGTACTTAAATATTAACAATAGTGTAGGAAGTGTTGGGTAGTCTCCCCTGATGTACTTTAGTATTAAGAATAGTGTAGGATGTGTTAGGTAGTCTCCCCTGATGTACTTAAATATCACGAATAGTGTAGGAAGTGTTGGGTAGTCTCCCCTGATGTACTTTAGTATTAAGAATAGTGTGGGAAATGTTTGGTAGTCTCCCCTGATGTACATTAATATAAGGGATGGTGTAGGATTTGTTGGGTAGTCTCCCCTGATGTACTTTGATATAAGGAATGGTGTGGGAAGTGTTGGGTAGTCTCCCCTGATGTATTTTAGTATAAGAGATGGTGTAGGAAGTGTTGGGTAGTCTCCCCTGATGTACTTTAATATAAGGGATGGTGTTGGAAGTGTTGGGCAGTCTCCCCTGATGTAATTTTTATAAAATATATGGTGTAGGAAGTGTTTGGTAGTCTCCCCAATGTACTTTAGTATAAAGGATGGCAACAGAAGTGACAGAATGAGATACAAGGCAGCTTGTGCTCTCAATTTACAGAAAACAATGCCAACTTAATTGACAACTTGAAACAATTTGCTGCTAATTCTGTCTACAAGCAGGGTGGGTGTGTCCTGCTAGTCAGGTACACCTGCCACTCACAAATAAATCAGCCTCTCCTTCAATATTCACCGAATCATTAAAAACATTCATGTTTTTAGCATGTGATTTATGTTTCATATCAATTACCAGCTTATGATCAGGTTGTAAATATCATCCTTTAGAATTGTAAATCACTTATGTAATTTGAGTGTACTGAAGAATACCGAATGTAAACTTCATTTTACCAACAATTGGTACCAATATGAAGTCAAATACAACTTGATTACAATTTGATACAAGAAAACTAAAATGGAAGCATGATTAAAACGTTATCTGATTGAATACCCTTATATTCTTATCTACCATTATCCTTTAGACTGGGAAAGTTGAATCCATGCATAACCCCCTCAAAAAATGTTCTGATCATCCCCCCACCCCTCCCTCTTTACATCTAGAGGTATTTTGCAATACAAAATTTAATGTTTAACAGGATAAAACGATAAAATCCAGTTCACTTATGGCCAACATTGCATGTCACCATAATGCACTAAGCTTACGGTTGATTAGGAGAGTTCTCGTGACCCTGATTATTGACATGATATAGTGCTGTTGATATTCCAGTCTGATGATTATCGTACAGAACAGTATTCCCAAACTGTTCACCAGTCGTTGTTCTTATCCTAGAAGGCAAATGACAAAAATTAAAAGTGATGTCTGTGCCTCGTTACTACAGAAAGGACCAGAGAGCAAACACAGCTCAATCATTCATATTTATACAAGCACAGATTTGCTAATTACACCCAGATGTATCTACTTGACCTTTACAACGACCTTCACCTTTCTAAAGATAGCAATCCCCTGGTCTTATTACTTAAGCATGTAAATAATGTGTATCTCTTACAAAGAAAAAAATATGCTCATTAAGTAGTAGAGATTAAACTATCACCACCATAACAACACAGAAATTCTCTGAACATTTCGACAGGTCTTCAGTATATGGACTGTTTGGTTGCTTGCCACACCATGCCATGGTTAAACAATCTTAATGTGCAGATAATTTTAAGGTTCAGTGTTGTAGTTGTGTAGATGTACATTTTCTCTCTTGTTATATTATTAGGAAATCCAAAGAAATGAAATTGAGAAATATACAACCCTGATCTAGAGACAATAAATTTATTGTCCAGCAATAAGCCAAGGGAGCAAGCACAGTAACTCTCACTCAAAGTCAGGTGGGAGGAGACAATCATCCTACAGAAAAACAAATAACTACAAATGGGCTTATTACCAGACATGGGTTTATTACCAGACATGGGCTTATTGTTAGAGAGTCTGAGTAGGTCAGCCTTATTTCAACTGACACTGTCTAGCTTCATTATTCACTGTTTAATCCCTTTTTCATGACTTCATTTCTGATTCAAGAAAACGCAATATAATACGCAAAGATTTCATTAACATAATAAAGAGGCCTTGGTATAAGAGGATTGACAAAACTTGTGAACAGTAAACGTGATATATTCTGCCAACTGTATTTCCTAGATACCTGTGATCTATTCATTTCCTGATCAATTCTATTTAGTATATTGCCATGCGTTCAACTATCAATGCTTGGCTTACGTAAGTGGCTTCACTAGGCGGATGTATCCACCCAGATAGAAATCTATGGCAGAGATTAGAATAAATCTATGAGAGAGATTAAAATAAAATGCCTGAACTGATTGTGACATTTCCATATTCTTTTGATAGATATAGATAAGGATTACCCATAATTTTTTCAATATTTGTTTAGAAATCACTCAAGCATGAAGAAATACGAAGGACCAAAATAGCTGCTGATCGATTAGTTTATAATCCTGACAGTTTCATCTGGGAGACTATTGTTAGAATGAATTCAACCTCCCACATGTTAGTATGGAAAAACTTTGTCAGAGCAACCTATATTTCATACTGGAAGATATCTGAGGCTGCTATTCAATTGTGTGTCTTTTGTACAACCTTGAAACAGTCTCAATTTCATATTGGACCACAGTGTTTGAGCATTCTCATCCTTCTACAGGAGGCCATTGTGACCACTAACTCAAACTCATGCTTTTTGACCTCTAACTACTTGACCCTATGAGAGGTGACCCTGTATGACCTAGAAACTATAAGTATAATGGCAGTAATATTGGTCCTTAATGTTTCCTTGATGGAAGAACCCACTAAATCATTGACAACACCACTAGCTTCCCTAGACTTTCCACTATTTAAAGTGTTCTTAAAGACGTGTTTATAGCAAAACCTAGACTACTGATATCATAGTTGGCAGTGTGCTTATCTGAAGTCCTCTGAGTTCCTGGTTCAAATCCAATGTCACAACGGTAAAGTTTAACGGCTGTAACAACAACCATATGTTATACGTATCTAACAGGGTATATGTGTTGTGTTGCTTGCTGATTACAAGGTTTCTTTTAACTGCCACCACTTGTGTTAGAAAATTCTCAGCAAGGAAATTTTATCATCTCTTAATTTCCTTCAGTGTGCAATGCAGATATAATAGCACAAAATTCTACTTCACTTCTGATAAACTGTTATCATCAAACAGAAGCACTGCATGCTGCACTATCTTTTTATCACAGTTTAGACATTTTGTCTAAATAAACATCCACAAATTATGATCATACAATTTTATTCCTTCTATTTTTTCTGAGATCTTGTGGTGATTCCAACATTGAATATCCCTGGAAATTTCAGTTTGTCCCATTTCAGAATCATAAAAAGAAAATCATTCAATGACATACTCAGAACATTTGAAGGATGTAAGCATTTGTTACATTCACACAAAGGAAATCTACTCACATGGTGCAGGTTCTGGTTCATCTGATTCCGTGGAGACCTGCTTCTTTTTTATAAAACTGCCTTTCTTGATCTGTAAAAGGAAATAACTGGCATTACCATCTTTTTTTCTTCCTTGGTAAAGTCCCATCAGGTTGTGCTAGAGGGGAGATAATCTGGAAATTTCTAATCTGGTAAATTTATTAAGAGGATATAATTTGGAAGTCTCCGATCAGGCATGGTCATGAAGGGGAGATAATTTGGTAGTCTCCAATCAGGCATGGTCATGAAGGGGGGATAATTTGGAAGTCTCCAATCAGGCATGGTCATGAAGGGGAGATAATTTGGTAGTCTCCAATCAGGCATGGTCATGAAGGGGAGATAATTTGGTAGTCTCCAATCAGGCATGGTCATGAAGGGGGGATAATTTGGTAGTCTCCAATCAGGCATCGTCATGGAGGGGGGATAATATGGTAGTATCCAATCAGGCATGGTCATGAAGGGGGGATAATTTGGTAGTCTCCAATCAGGCAAGGTCATGAAGGGGAGATAATATGGTAGTCTCCAATCAGGCATGGTCATGAAGGGGAGATAATTTGGTAGTCTCCAATCAGGTATGGTCATGAAGAGGGGATAATTTGGTAGTCTCCAATCAGGCATGGTCATGAAGGGGGGATAATTTGGTAGTATCCAATCAGGCATGGTCATGAAGGGGGGGATAATTTGGTAGTCTCGAATCAGGCATGGTCATGAAGGGGAGATCATTTGGTAGTCTCCAATCAGGCATGGTCATGAAGGAGAGATAATTTGGAAGTCTCCAATCAGGCATGGTCATGGAGGGGGGATAATATGGTAGTCTCCAATCAGACATGGTCATGAATGGAGGAGGTGGGATAATTTGGTAGTCTTCAATCAGACATGGTCATGAAGGGGAGATAATTTGGAAGTCTTCAATCAGGCATGGTCATGAAGGGGAGATAATTTGGTAGTCTCCAATCAGGCATGGTCATGAAGGGGGGATAATTTGGTAGTCTCCAATCAGGCATGGTCATGAAGGGGAGATAATTTGGTAGTCTCCAATCAGGCATGGTCATGAAGGGGGGGTAATTTGGTAGTCTCCAATCAGGCATGGTCATGAAGGGGAGATGATTTGGTAGTCTCCAATCAGGCATGGTCATGAAGGGGAGATAATTTGGTAGTCTCCAATCAGGCATGGTCATGAAGGGGGGATAATTTGGTAGTCTCCAATCAGGCATGGTCATGAAGGGGGGATAATTTGGTAGTCTCCAATCAGGAATGGTCATGAAGGGGGGATAATTTGGTAGTCTCCAATCAGGCATGGTCATGAAGGGGAGATAATATGGTAGTCTCCACTCAGGCATGGTCATGAAGGGGAGATCATTTGGTAGTCTCCAATCAGGCATGGTCATGAAGGGGAGATAATTTGGAAGTCTCCAATCAGGCATGGTCATGGAGGGGGGATAATATGGTAGTCTCCAATCAGACATGGTCATGAAGGGGGGGGGATAATTTGGTAGTCTTCAATCAGACATGGTCATGAAGGGGAGATAATTTGGAAGTCTCTATTCAGACATGGTCATGAAGGGCAGATAATTTGGAAGTCTCCATTCAGGCATGTTTACCAGAGGAGATCATTTGGTAGTCTCCTATCAGATATGTTTTATAAAGGGGAGATAATATGGTTGTCTCCAATCAGTTGTGTTTAATAAGAGGAGGCAATTTGGTAGTCTCAACTCAGATTTGGGCTCTATCATGGAGATAAGCTAAACTGAAATCTCTCACTAGTTACTTTTAGATAAAGGGAGATAACCTGGAAGTCTTCCAATGGGTGGTTTCATTAGAAAGTGATATAGCATATTCACATTAATCATACAGGGAAGCATGAACAAGAGGCCCACTGGGTCTGCATTGCACAAACAGTATTCAATGTTCATCAAGAATTGTTCAAAATCAATATATATAGCATTCAAAGAGTGCACATCCAACTAATTTTAACTGATTTCACGACAAAGTCTAGATTCTTACACTCGAAACAGAGGCAGTTATGACCTGGATTAAAAGTTTATGTTACTTCCTTTTTCTTGTTGATTTTTTCTTCAAAATTTGTTGGGCCTTGACCTACAAATACCATTTCACCAAACATTATGATTCTCAGAATTTTGGTTTAACAAAAGTCTTTTACAGATTTTGATAAATTTGACCCGTGATCTTGAATTTGCTTCAAAGTTATTTCTTTTTGCAAACTTTGTCTGGCTCCATACCAGAAATCTACCTGCCAAATATCATGTTTTTAGATCTTAGGTTAATCAGAAGAAATTGTTTAAAGTTTCAATAAATTCTATCCCTGTGACCTTGAATATGCCTCAAGGTCAATTCTTTTTGCAAACATAGCCAGGCTTCAGCCAAGAAACTTTCTAGCCAAATATCATGTTTCTAGACCTTTCTGTTAATCTAAAGAAGTTGTTTTAAGTTTTTAGCAAATTCAACCTCTGTAATCTTAATATATATGTAAGTTATGGTCATTTCTTTTCACAAAATTCCACAGTCCTCCCTCAAGAAATCTATCAACCAAATATCATGCTTGGGGGCCTTTGGTTAATCAGAGGTAGTTTTATGGTTTTAACAAATTTGAGCCCCGTGCCCTTGATTATGGGCTACAGCATAAGCTCACGTTCAGGCCAGGTGGGCTAATAAAATGGTATTTTTGCATAGTTCTAATTACATTTAGATGTGTTTCATTACTATAACCTTATTTATTTCTACAATCTGTCAAAGTCAATGATAATTTCAAAAGCTTACTATTTTGGTTTCTGATGCAGTTTTGAGGTTTTTGACGGCTTTCTTCCACATGCCCTTGATGGAGGCTGCTGACTTCTTGTCTGACATGTCCTCCACTGAGCCATTCTGTTTGGATGTGAACAGGTCGATCTGGAAATACACAAGTCAAAGGTTAAATGTAGGTATGAGAACACACAAGTGATGTCATCAAATGCTATACAGAGATCAGTGCAGAGAATGGTTTCCAAATAATACCTCTTGCTGTTGTTAAAAGACATATTCTTTCATCTCTGTTTCATTGTGCTTTCTTTCACCAGGAAGGAAAAGACATATTCCAACACAATATATCACTCCTAACATGCATATTGATATGGAATGGTAATAATGAGTAAAAATGCCAAAAATAAAAAACATGGCGTAATGATTTTAATGATGAATTAATGCATACCATGATTTTAAAACCAGGAATACTGAATGAGTTATAAAATCAAAATGCTAAAAAACAACCAAAGGGCAATAACTCTTTAAAAATTCTGTAAATGATTTGCAGTGTAGGAAAACACAACTTCATGTCATGGTGATTAGCCTATGAAGTTTGAAATAAATCGCTTGAAACCTCAGAAAGTGGATCTTTGCAGAATTAACAAGGGGCAGTAACTCTTCTAAAAACAATGAAATCAAACTGCCATTGAGGAAAACAAACTTCATAGTAATTCAGTCTATCAAGTTTGAAACAGATTGGTTAAAAATAGTCGCATAAGCTCTAATGACTAAAAGTTTACAACGAATGGATGAATTTTGGTATATCAAGATATACCCTGTCAAAATTTTGGACAAATTACAAAAATATACCATAAACTTTATTTAACAACTGCAAAAGAAGTTATCAAACTGATCACTGCTGTAGGTCTGAACATGGAGATGAACCCTGGACATCTAGTTAGGAGGAAGGTGAGTATGTTACCTCTGTGTCACCTGACCATACCACTTATAACTTAGTGCTTCAGAGCAGACAAAAAACAAGAAATATTCCCTTAAACTATAGCTGATGTATATGATTTCCTGATGAACAAAAATTTGTACAGGATATTATTGGTATGTTTCATCAACCAACCCATCATGAACAGTGCTGATGACCTCTCTATCTGTACAAGATGCACCATGTGGGATCTATGTGCTGCCCATATCCTCAGCAGGATTTTAAACTGTCAATCAAAATTAATTCCAGGTCTGCAGAATATTTATTTCTGGACGAGCATGTTCAGGTAATGGATTTTAGTGTTGCCATCCAATGCTGATTTTATGTCACAGCTAAAGTATGTTGAAGATGAAAAAGAGGAAAGTGGGAAAGAGAATAAAGGATATGTAGTATCGGTAAGATGATTACCATTGATCCTTATGGTAATACTACAGTTTAGCATCCCTCATCTGTAAAGTGCCTAAAAGAACATGAATATTTTAAAGCTCTGGACAGGAATCAACTCCGACACTTTACACAGGAGCAATAAACTAAACATCATGCCAAATCATAAAAAAAATTCTTAATTCCTGACAGGTCAAAACCTGATCTCAAGGGCATTTAGTGGTCAAATGTACCTAATAACAAATAGTGACAAAATCATATAAAACATAAAGTAAAAAATCTTATGTTGTCAAACCATTTTAATTAGTTGGTCAAGTATTTCCAAATTCTGGAAGAGTGGTCAGATCAAAAAACCTCTGGACAGAGGATCAAATACCTCCAAACTTTGGAAAAGTGGTCAGAAATTTCAAAAGTATTGGTAGACAAATTATCTAAGTCTGAAGAAAAGTATCAAATGGCTTAAAGCTCTGAGAAGGTCAAAGGTCAAATGTGAGTAATAATCTTAACCTGGGCAATTGGTCAATACAAACAAACTTAAGAAACGTGATCAAATAAATTATTTCTGATGTGGTTTAAACCCAAACATCATCTATATTTTACTGGTCCTTATAATAAGGAGTCTGGGGATAGAACATATTTGATGTATCATGTGCAAATGAGATCTTTGTGACCCTGTATGTAAATTATAAGGACCAGCCCAAGGGGGAACATTTTGGCCTCGTAACAGCAGACAATTCTAATGCTTTACACAACAAATGTTCATCTGAATTATCATGTTTTGAATGTGAATTCACAAGGGACTGATACAGGAGACGAAAGATAAATATTTCAAGCTGCAATTCCACTTCTACAGCAAACAGTTTCAGTTTGGTAAATGGGATTTTTCAGGGATCTGATATGTCATGGAAGGACACAATTCTCTCTGTGGGTAAGAGTTGTCAGACTTGACTATTGAAAGCTGTAGGTGTCAGGTATCATACCATATCCTAGAGGGAACTTAATGTCCAAATAGCGATTGGTCTTTACTTGTGTTATTAAAGTTGGGTCTTTTCTCTTTCATTTTCTTTCTCTATGTTTGATCTTAATTATATGAAATTTGTGATCTCTTAAGAAATACTGATAATAATCGTTAAACATTAATGCTTGCCTTTCAGCTATTCTACTCTTCTGACCAGTCCAAAAACGTAAAGCAAAGCCAAGGCCCAAAGTGAACCTTCCTGTAAAATTTGAGAAAGATCCATCCAAATCTACTGAAGAAATATCCATAACAAAAATTATTTAAGGACTGATGACAGACAGATGTCTGATCAGACACAAAATGATTTGAACAGCCCATCCCCTGATGAATGTAATATTCATGGTCTGTAGTTATAAAAGTCTAGTAATAGACTTTATCTTGACTGTAGAACAACATAAAGTTGATGACCCTGTCAGAACTGTGGAGCAACATTAAGTTGATGACCCTGTCAGAACTGTGGAGCAACATTAAGTTGGTGACCCTGTCAGAACTGTGGAGTAACATAAAGTTGGTGACCCTGTCAGAACTGTGAAGCAACATTAAGTTGATGACCCTGTCAGAACTGTGGAGCAACATAAGTTGATGACCCTGTCAGAACTGTGGAGTAACATTAAGTTGGTGACCCTGTCAGAACTGTGGAGCAACATAAGTTGGTGACCCTGTCAGAACTGTGGAGTAACATTAAGTTGGTGACCCTGTCAGAACTGTGAAGCAACATTAAGTTGATGTCCCTGTCAGAACTGTAGAACAACACTAAGTTGATGACCCTGTCAGAACTGTAGAACAACATTTATTTGGTGACCCTGTTAGGACTGTGGAGCAACATTTAGTTGGTGACCCTCTCAGAACTGTAGAACAACATTAAGTTGATGACCCTGTCAGAACTGTGAAGCAACATTAAGTTTGTGACCCTGTCAGAACTGTGAAGCAACATTAAGTTGATGACCCTGTCAGAACTGTGGAGCAACATTAAGTTGATGACCCTGTCAGAACTGTGGAGCAACATAAGTTGGTGACCCTGTCAGAACTGTGGAGTAACATTAAGTTGATGACCCTGTCAGAACTGTGGAGCAACATAAGTTGGTGACCCTGTCAGGACTGTGGAGCAACATTAAGTTGGTTGTCAGAACTGTGGAGCAACATTAAGTTGGTGACCCTGTCAGAACTGTGGAGTAACATTAAGTTGGTGACCCTGTCAGAACTGTGAAGCAACATTAAGTTGGTGACCCTGTCAGGACTGTGGAGTAACATTAAGTTGATGACCCTGTCAGAACTGTGAAGCAACATTAAGTTGATGACCCTGTCAGAACTGTGATGCAACATTAAGTTGGTGACCCTGTCAGAACTGTGGAGCAACATTAAGTTGGTGACCCTGTCAGAACTAAGGAGTAACATTAAGTTGGTGACCCTGTCAGAACTGTGGAGCAACATTAAGTTGGTGACCCTGTCAGAACTGTGGAGCAACATTAAGTTGGTGACCCTGTCAGAACTGTGGAGTAACATTTAGTTGGTGACCCTGTCAGAACTGTGAAGCAACATTAAGTTGATGACCCTGTCAGAACTGTGAAGCAACATTAAGTTGATGACCCTGTCAGAACTGTGAAGCAACATTAAGTTGGTGACCCTGTCAGAACTGTGGAGCAACATTAAGTTGGTGACCCTGTCAGAACTGTGGAGTAACATTAAGTTGGTGACCCTGTCAGAACTGTGGAGCAACATTAAGTTGGTGACCCTGTCAGAACTGTGGAGCAACATTAAGTTGGTGACCCTGTCAGAACTGTGGAGTAACATTTAGTTGGTGACCCTGTCAGAACTGTGAAGCAACATTAAGTTGGTGACCCTGTCAGAACTGTGAAGCAACATTAAGTTGATGACCCTAGCAGAACTGTGAAGCAACATTAAGTTGGTGACCCTGTCAGAACTGTGGAGCAACATTAAGTTGGTGACCCTGTCAGAACTGTGGAGTAACATTAAGTTGGTGACCATGCCAGAACTGTGGAGCAACATTAAGTTGGTGACCCTGTCAGAACTGTGGAGTAACATTAAGTTGGTGACCCTGTCAGAACTGTGGAGCAACATTTAGTTAGTGACCCTGTCAGAACTGTGGAGCAACATTAAGTTGGTGACCCTGTCAGAACTGTGGAACAACATTTATTTGGTGACCCTGTTAGAACTGTGGAGCAACATTAAGTTGATGACCCTGTCAGAACTGTAGAACAACATTAAGTTGATGACCCTGTCAGGACTGTGGAGCAACATTAAGTTGATGACCCTGTCAGAACTGTGGAGCAACATAAGTTGGTGACCCTGTCAGAACTGTGGAGTAACATTAAGTTGATGACCCTGTCAGAACTGTGGAGCAACATAAGTTGGTGACCTGACCCTGTCAGGACTGTGGAGCAACATTAAGTTGGTTGTCAGAACTGTGGAGCAACATTAAGTTGGTGACCCTGTCAGAACTGTGGAGTAACATTAAGTTGGTGACCCTGTCAGAACTGTGAAGCAACATTAAGTTGGTGACCCTGTCAGGACTGTGGAGTAACATTAAGTTGATGACCCTGTCAGAACTGTGAAGCAACATTAAGTTGATGACCCTGTCAGAACTGTGATGCAACATTAAGTTGGTGACCCTGTCAGAACTGTGGAGCAACATTAAGTTGGTGACCCTGTCAGAACTAAGGAGTAACATTAAGTTGGTGACCCTGTCAGAACTGTGGAGCAACATTAAGTTGGTGACCCTGTCAGAACTGTGGAGCAACATTAAGTTGG